ATTATTATACTTTGAATAAATTATTCATAAACAGGAAATTCAAACTTTTACTGAGCAATGATTCAAAAGATCGATGTCGGATAAAAAACTTATTTGCTTTAGTTTGGGGGTGGGGGGGTGACCTCAAAAAGTTGACATCCTACAAAAACGATTTTATTTTTTAATGTAGTCAAAAAAATGAAAAAAAAAACACATCCAAGACAAGAGAAAATGGTTTGGTCCGAGTGTAAATATGTGCATCAAATGAGGTCAATTTCAGAGTATTGACCTAGAACATGCGCAGAACCCAGAAAAGTAGTTTGCGCATGCGTATATTCCGCTTCATTATTACAACCAACTGCTATGCCATACTGCTGTTCGATTATCAATTTGTATTTATTGGTGAATGTAGTCTAACGCCATGATCAATATTTATCAATTAAGTTTCGGGGGGGGGGGACTAAAAGAATTAAGTTTTTTATCCGACATTGATCTTTTGACGTCGTCCCTAATTGTCCCGACTATGTTATTGTAGAAAGAACTTTTAGACATCATACTTTACCATGTGTATAACTGTATTTTCAGTATACTCCTTTGCGATCAGCTGGTATCTACGTACGTACACTGCTACCCAAAGGTGCGGCTGCCAGAGATGGTAGACTCAGACTTGGAGATAGAATACTAGCAGTCAATGGTACTAGTCTAGTTGGTGCCGATTATCAGAGGTAAGCATGTGGCAGGGTATGATGGACTGATGAGCTGGACAATTTTACTACTTGTCCATCAAAGTCACTCTTCTTGGACAGCGTTTGAAATTTGACGTTTTGTACATTCACCTGTGTTAAGGTAGAGATGCAGTTTACCTGACAGGTATTTTAATTAGTTAATTAGGAAACCAAGATGACCTCCCTTGTCCACAAAACTATATATTTTCGGAAAGCTTATTGTATGAATTTTAAACTTTTATTAGTATTTTATTTTTATGGACACTGTAGTTTGAAATATGCACAAAAATGTGCTTTTTTGGTCAAAAGTAATTTAAAAAAAATTAGCTTCTAAACCATGCTTCTGTTTCCTGTCAAAATTGGTTTATGAGTACATCTGTTTACTATGAAGAAAGTGCTGTCTTGAAAACTGTCTACCAGTTGTCAATTTTGTAGGGCAGCAACTCAAATTTCACTATTTCACTATTTCAAG